CTCTTGCACACAAGGGTCAGAGGTACGAAGGCTTTCTGCAAAGCCCAGAGAACGTTGGTGGGGGGAGAAAAAAAGAAAGCTGAGACACCCAGGGAGCACCTGGGAGCTGTCAACTGCCTTCATTTCTTTTTTTTTACAATCAAAAGAAAAGCTAACCAAGAAAAATCTTGTCAATGCTCCCTCACAGGTGAACTTTTTACAGATTCTCCAAAAGCCCCCTCTTCAAGATTTCCAATTATAAGATCCGCTTCCCCAGTCAATAAACTCTAATTGGATCTGGTCGGTCTCCAGCACGGTAACTCCATCAGCGTTTTATTATGCAGAAAAAGATGGCCCTAACAGCCAATTAGCGCTTCTCTGTTTGGTGAGACTGCTACATCGTCAGCATTTAATGCCGGTTTAATCAACGGCCATTTTTACTTCCACGACAGAAGGAAAAAAAAAAAAGCATTCTTTTAAACTCAAAAATTTCAAGCTTAAGATGTATTTAGAAACGGTCAGAGGGTCAGGCACTGGCGACTCACGCCTGTAATCCCAGCTGCTCAGGAGGCAGAGATCAGGAGGATCGCGGTTCAAACCCAGCCCCAGCACATAGTTCATGAGACCCTATCTCAAAAAACCCATCACAGAAAAGGCGTGGCTCAAGGTGAAGGCCCTGAGTTCAAATCCCAGTGCTGCAACTTCCAGGGGCCAGCATCTCACCTGCCCCTGGAGCGAGCAGCCAGCTGTACAGGTAGCCGGCGGCCAGGGAGTAGTAAAGCACCAGCCCCCGCTGCCCGTTGACCGTCTCCAGGATCTGGTCAATGGTGACGGGGGAGTAGGGGTCGGAGCCCTGCTGGCCTGTCTGTCGTTCTACCAGAAGATCAGCAAACGCCCTCGTCCTGCCTCTCTCAGCCACCGCCAGGGCTTCATCGTGGTGGCCTAGGAGACAAAGGGACAGGATGAGGAGTCCATTGTGACTGTGTCCACTTGATGAGGGTCCTCAGATCCCTGGCAGGAGCCTCACCGCCTCTGCTCTCAACGTGTGACAGGACAGGTGGTGTGGGGTCCAGGCTAACAGCTCCCGGTGGTTTAGATTCAGTGAGACTGACCCAGTGCCACCATGTCATGTCTGGTCCTTAGGCAGCACCACAGGAGAGCCACCCTGGTTCAGGGCACTGTGCTCAGTGCTGCCTGCTCTCTGCTCCACACCCCGAGTTGCTCTCTCCTGCTCCGGTCACTTGGTCACTCAGCCCTCTGGACCTGACACTCGGCATGCTGGTCACCCGCTCCCTTCTCTCTCCACTTTGATGTGGCATGGGGCTGACTGAGGAGAGCTGCTGCTGTCTCCTGACCCCTCTCCCATCGCCCCCAGACTGTACCCCGTCCCTACACACACCTGTCCCTCTGCTGGGGAATGCGTTCCCTTTTCAGGGACCTGTCCCCAAAAGAGGGATTGTCACAGTCATCCTGGCTACCTCCAAGGACTGCTGTAAAGATGAAGTGAGACACTGGGTGGCAGGGGAGGAGTTATTTAAGCACCCCAAGTGCCAGACAGGTGGCCTTGTCACTGTGGGAACCTATGTCCTCTGTTCTAGGTTCCCTGGGCACAGGGTTTAAACCTCAGAGACTGTGGCTTTAAACTCACTTCTCTCTTTCAATGTCTGTCTGTCTTTCAATCCCGCTTCCTCTAAGAGCTCGTCTGCCACCTGCTTTAAAAGCTCACAACCAACGTGAAGCCAGCGACTTTCAAGCGAGGCCTGTGTCGGGGCTGAAGGGACGCAATGCAGATAAGCGAGTTGCGTCGTAAGTACAAACATGAGATTGTCGCTAGAACAAGGGCCCTGAGAGAGAGAGAGAGAGAGAGAGAGAGAGAGAGAGAGAGAGAGAGAGGGGCAGGGGACCAGATGCCACGGCTCCGGCAGCACTTCCAGGACGCCTTGCTTCCTGCTGTCGGGCATCTGTAGAAAGCGGGATTTACGTGGCTGAGTGCAAACGCCTCCTCTCTCTCTATTAAGTTATTAACTGAAACAGCAGGCACGAGTTCTGTGCGCCCTGGAAAGCCAGCCCCACAAAGCCACACAGCCTTGACACCGTGATCACAATGGATAATAACTCATAATCCCGGGCAGTGACTACATTCAGTTTTTTTCCAAGAGGAAACGTGGGCTTTCCTGGATGCACAGGTTAGGGAAACGCCTTCCATGTAACTCTGACATCTTTGTTGGTCTCGACATGCCTTCTTCTGGGAAGGGACAGAGGGACTGGAAGGGGCGGCGGGGGAACTGCAGGCTGCCTGGTGCCACGAGGCCCGCAGGCCTGGACGACCCTTGATCTGAGTGGCACAGCCCAGGGCGCAGGCCTTAGGCAGCTACCCCGAAGGCCGTGTGGCTGGGGAAGCGGGAGAGGCAATGAGAAAAAACGTCCCTGTCCTCCCTGTCCTCCCTAGTCGGCAGCTTGCAGCCCGTGTGACTGCAGACAGGGGACACTTTCTGGGCCTGCAGCCACACAGCTCTGTTCCCCGGGGTCTAGGTCCCCAGGTTTTTCACCTTAGCTGAGGACTCACTGCCTGTGTCTCTCCCCGGGCTAAGAATGTCCTCACTACGGTCCCCAGGGCTGGCACTCTGCATGTTGGCAGGCCCTCTGCAAACCTTCGCTGAATAAACAAATGGATGTCGACAACTGGGTGTGTGTGGGGTTCAGTCTTAAGTGACAACCGTCGCTAAGCGGCTCAGACGCATCTCACCTAAACTGACAAGCACCCGCTGCAAGGCCTGGTAGGAAGACGTCTGCAGGTCGAACAGAGAGAGTTTGTAGTCCGTGCTCAGCTGCGCCTCGTGCCGGATGGTCTCGAACAAGGCTGATGCCCTGTAAAGCTGTAAGGAGAGGCAGAGAACGTCACCCATCTCCTCACACCAGTGTCCCACCAGTTAGAGGCCAGACGAGGCTGGGACAGTGAGACAGAGGCAGCCCCACTGTCACCTTTTGCAGGTGGCCCAGCACTGTGGAGCCCACTAAAGGCCAGGCCTTTGGTGGACAGGCTCCCAGGGCAGCTGCACCCACCCACTCACTCCAGGGCCAGAGGGAGACCCCGGCCTGCGGCTCTGAGTTCATCCAAACTCAGAAAGACTTGTAGGACGAGGATTCAGGCCAGGAGACAGCGAGAGAGGGGTGTGCTCCCAACCCTCTCCCTCGTGTGTCCTGTGACTTCAGAGTCGTCACCTTGACAAGGGGACGCTTGTCAGCTGACGTCCCAGGGTACTTTGAGGAATGAACCCAATGAGAGAAAGTACTCTGAAAGTGACCAATCACTACACTGATAAAAAGTTTTAGTTTCCACAACTAGGAAATGACAGAATTAATTCTTCCAGTTGACTTTAATCATCTTCAGAGCACAGTGTGACATTGTTCCAGGAGGCTGGCACACGCTCAGTGTCACTGGGCTCTCCCGCCTCGTGGGCACCTGTGGGACACAGCCTCAGTTTGCTTCTCCTTGGTCCCCTGCGCCTGGCAGAGCCCACAGTGACCCTTCACGCTGCTAAGGGGTGAGTGTGAGCTCAGAAGGGCCGGCTCCGCACTCCTCCTGTCCAGCAGGGGAGGCCAGGGATCCTCCGACTTCCCAGAGCCTCTGTGACAACGGGTGGCTCTTCAGTGGCTCAAGTGCAAAGCAGAAACGGGGACACATTACTGTCAGGGAGGACAGTGGGGTTGTCTCCATCGCTGCGACTAGAAACCCACGGGAATCCAAGGGCACTCCGGACAACTCTATCGGGGCTCGCAGTTCTGGCTAGGCCAGGCTGGACAGCGTGTGTGCCAAGCACAGCTAGGACAGGAATCCGGGGTCCTCCGGCTTTGGGAGGTGCGCGCGCCCGGTTCAGCTCTCACCTGGTGCTGGGCTTCCTCTAGGTTTCCACTGGCCCACAGGGACAGGCCAAGCCCATGACGAATTTTTGCCTCATCTTCTCTTCGTCCCAGCTGCTCGGCTAACCTTAAACCTGAAATCGGAAAGAGAAATTTAAAGACACACAGAGGACTGAGAGTCCTGGAAAGAGATCTTGCTTCAGGTGGACGTGAAGAACGTTAGCACGCTTCCAGAAGGTGAGTGGGGACGCGGGACGCCAGCCGAATCGGCTGCAGAGGCAGGACAAGCGTCCCCGTCAGACTCCACAGTGGCACAGCTGTGTCCTGGACACTGGGGAGATGCCCAGCAGGAGCTCAGGCGACGGTGACAGCAGGGGACAGACTTGCAAGGCAGAGACAAATGGAACCTGACCTAGCTGCCCTCCTGGATGCGAAACCCTTAGAGTCGCAAAGGAAAACTGCTGCTGATAAATTTCTCTCCCCTGATCCTCAGGCTGGCAACAGATTTTCCTGACGGTCAAGTGCAGCAGCTGAGGTGACACTTCTTCCTATCTCGAGAGCGGTCCAGTGTCCGATCGGTGCTGATGGACCCGGCGAGGCTCTCCCGAAAGCCGCGTGCGTGCGCGCACAGCCTGACTGGCCTCTGTCACCAATACTGCGACCCCTTCTGTGCCCAATCTGCCTTTCCTTTAAGCCTGGGCTCTGAAGTGTCTCAGCGGGGCTGCGACAAAGTGCTCTTAGGAGTGGACCGTCTTAAATGAGCCTGTCCTCACTTGAATGGTCTTCAGACGGGCGCCTGCCGTGCGGGTCACCTACCCACAGCGAGCTTCTAGGTTTCAGGACACTAGCCACCTTTAGGGCTTTGTGGGAGCCAGATCTGAAGGCAGCCGTTTATTGTCTTGGTCGCTAAGCCGATCTCAGCTTCACCGTGCCCTCATTACGGCGCCTTCTGTACAGAGCAGCCAGCCTGTGCGGGAGACAGCGGGGGTGGGGGGGGGGTCCTGCAAACCGCACGTTTGAAGACACAGCCTCCTTTACATCTAATGAGGGCCCTGGGAGCCACCGCTGAGCATGCCGGGCCTGTGCAATTGCTGACCTCCAAAAAGAGACCTGAGTCAGCCAAGAGACTGACAAAAGCAGTGCTGAAACAGTGCGCACTTCAAAACGCACACGAGTCAGAAGCTCAGAGACGGTGCTTTGAGTTTCAGTCCCTAGGCTAACAAAAATATTTGCAAGTAATTCACACGAAGATGTGACAGGGAAGCTGGAACACACAGGGCGCTCACCTTCAGCGGGGAGCCACACTGCTCAAGGCACACGTCCCGCCAGGCCTGGCCCTGAGTCACAAGTACAACTCCCTGGGCAAACCAGTCCCCCTGCCGCCTGCCACAAGCATGTCTGGAAGAGCAGGGTTGGAGGACGCCCGCTGGCCATCAGCCCGGGACCCAGCTGTGAAGGGTTCGCTCTGCTGTGCGGGGTGTGGGACCTGAGCCACCCAGCCTCAGTGTGCGGTGGGCTCTCAGGAGCCTGACCCAGGCTCCCCAGCAATCCCGGGCTGAGGTTGCGAGGCCCCCAAGGGAATGCACGAAACTCTCGTCTCCCTTGAGGACAAGCAGTGGCTTCCGACCAGAGCCACCCACCCGAGTCCCCTGCTGAAATTATTTGAGCGACTCAGACCTGCACCCCTGTGACATCGGTTGCCCTGGGTCGGGACCGAGTCACAATCCTCTCCCCTCTGAAAGCAGAGTCCGGGGTGAGTGTCACCTAAACTGGTCCCTCCACTGCAAGAGGCTGTGGACCCAACTCAGGGTGCCCCAAAAGCACTGTCCAGGTGCCTTGCACCTGAGCCAGCCCAGAGGTCACGAGAGGCACTCGGTGTCCGCACATGGGCTGCGGGGCTCTCCAGAGAACACAGCCATGGAGATGCTACGAGGGCTCCACAAGACTACAGGAAGCAATAAAAATGACCCGGACAGTTTTCCACAAAGACAGAATTGTTACAGCGTCTCAGGCCAGCCAGCTGTTGCATGGAGACAGCGTTTCAGGAAGGCTACAGACCACGAGGAAACAGTCAGATGCTGGCCTGAGTTGAACAGCGTGTCACAAACTCAACTGAAAACACCCTGAGTCTGCTGGAATTTTACCACAATTGAGGTTCGGGAAACCAAAAGCCACCATCGAAAGTGTCCAGTGCACGAGGCAGAGGCCACCTGTGGACAGGAATGGTGCTTTGGGCCTGCTCAGCCAAGCAAGACCGGGAGCATCGGCCTCTCACCTTGTCACCTGTTCTCTAGGTGTCCCAGCTGGGGCCAGGGGTAATGGGGTCCAGCTGTGCAACCCTGAGCTGTGCCTGTGAGCTAAGAAGCATCTCCGGGCAGGGTCCTGTGTGGTTCCTGGGGTCAGAAACCCCAGACTGAGCCTTACTCTGACCAACCAGCTCAAGGTCAGGATCGGCGTGTCAGGTGACTTAGCTGCAAGGACAGGAACAAGCAGGCACCTCTGGGATGGGGCAGCAGCGAGTGTCGAGCACACACGGCAAAAATAAAGTAATTAATGAGAAGACACCCCTCGCAAGGTTACTGCAGGAATTCAATCAGATTAAATAAACTACATACGCAAACCCTCAAAGTGAGAGTTTTTGCTTGAAATGGCAACCACTTCTTTTCACCAGCCGGTGGAGGATGTCACACTGTCCCCGCCTTAGAGGCGGGAGGGAGCTGCATGCCTGCCACCCCAGCGTAAAGAAGGGCACGTCCAAGGCCCCTCTGTGCCCAGGTAACTGGGGTACAACGGCAGAGGAAGAGGAGCCATGGGGATGGCACTGGGTGGGGGGGTGGGGACGCCTGGCTGACCACTGCCGTGACTGCCAGACACCTCGGGTGTCATGTCAGCTGTCATGTCAGAACTGAAGTGTGGTGTTTTCTGGAGGGACAACAGGACTCCGTGGGCATTTCTTGTGACCCTGTGGTGTCACCGATCAGATCCTCTGTGTGAGCATCTCACAAGCCAGGAGGGGTTCAGCCCCTGGGACAGCTCACAAGTGGCCTATTGCCGTCCCGGAGAGAGCAAGACAACTGGGATGCAGAGAGCTTGGCCAGGTGTTCTGGACAATGGAACACCTGGCGGTAAGGGACACTGTAACACTGGGCGGTGTGACCTGTGAGACCCTCAGTCCACTCCACACAGAGGTGGCAGCTCAAACTGTATTTTCCCTGAGTCTCAAGTGGAGAGGCCACCCTGGGCCTTGTCACCTACCTTCCTGTAAGTACATGACTGCCTGCGAATAGTTCTGCAAGGCGTGATGAGTCCTCCCAAGGCTACTGTAGGACACCGTCTTGGCCACCAAGTCGTTCATCTGGGCGGCTATGCTCAGGTGCTGTTCTTGATAGACCACGGCCCTCTCGAAGGTGCCTAGGGACTCGTAGGTCAGGCCCAGGTTCCCGTAGGCCCGGCCCTGGCACGTGGGGTTATTGGTTTCTTCTGCGATCTGCAGGTCGAGCTGGTGGTACTGCAGGGCTCTGTCGTACTCCCCCATCTGCTGGTAGACGCCCCCCAGGCCACAGGCCGCGTCACTCTCCAGGGCCCGGTCCTTCATCTCCCTGGCAAGGTTCAGCTGGCGTTCCAGGCAGGAAATGGCTTGCTCGTAGTTCCCTAGCTGGCTGTGCAGGCTCCCCAGCTCGCCGTAGGCCTGGGCTTTGTTGAAGGCCTCCCCGAGCTCGTGGGCCACCACCAGCCTCTTCTCAAAGCACACGAGGGCTTGCTGCAGGCTTCCCATCGCCCTGCGGGGAGCAGACAGAAACGCAATGAAATCATTCCCTGCAGGTGCGGGCCCGCAAAAGCCCCCGAGAAAATGAAAAGCATTTGTCACTGTCACTCGCTATAAGAGCTCTTAACTCCTCTCCCAGCTAAGATCTATCGCGTGCCCTTAGTGTGAGATGCAGAGGAATTTCATAAACTGGAAAGCAATTCAGAAGTCATCGTGCGGTGACCTTCCCCAGAGCTGGCCATTCCACGGGATGCTCACCCCGGGGACACATAAAATACACTAATAGGTACAATGATGGCGGGTGAACGGCTTGCTTCCTCGGGCCTCCCGATTTCTACTACCGCTTAAGACTATGGTTTTGAAGTCACTTTCCAGTGGCTATAAATCTTTCACCCAGAGTTTCTGCAGCACCCGGGGGTGCCCGCCCTCCCTCCACTCGGGGAGACCTCATCCTCTCTGGTGAGGGCGTACATTCTGCAGACAGGGGCGCCTTCGCGGGTTCCCCGTGTCTGGAGGACAGCCCTTTGGCCAGCAACACGGGTCGTCACAGAGGTGACACGCTCAGAGGGGGAAAAGCCTTGGGCCGGGTGGCAGATCAAATGAGCTGTGTAGGGCACATGGGTCCCTCTCCCTTGGCACAGTAACACAGGACTGCTGTGACTATTCAGATAGCCATCCTGGGACAAGTTAGCAGATGGCTTTTCCTAGATGCACCGTAACAGGGTCCAAGTCATCGGTGGGTACCGAGGGCTGCGCTAATAAAACACTGGAGTGACCCGGAAAAGATCGGTTCACCTGCATCCTTCGCCTTCCTAATCTGTTCACAACTTGATTCTGCTCATCTTAACGCAGTCAAAAATAAAAATTAACAAAAATGCAGTTCATTTGGAACTAGGGCACCCTGGCCTCGACTCGCAGCTCCTCTTGCAAGCTGTGTGAACTCAGGCAAGAAACCACCCTCTCTGGGTTTTGCCTTATTTCTTCCCTCCCGTAAGGGGAATAGTATCTCCTACTTAATTCGAAGAATCATTGCACCAATCAGCTGGAGGATGTGAAAGACGCCTTGCAGTCAGCCAGCTGCCACAGAGACACGCAACGGCCACGACTGTCACGGAAGCCCTGTTTTGCAGGCCTTGCTTGTCTCCCCCATTTTGGTCCTTTGTCACCTCACCTGTGTGCATTTCCGAGGCCCCGGTAAGCCTTGGCTTGGTCTTGCATCCGGTTCAGACTCTGGGCAACAGACAGGTACTGGTCGTAGTGTTTGATGGCTTCCTCGTAGTCACCCAGGGCCTCGTAGCAATCCCCCAGGTTGCCGTAGGCCCGGCCCCGGTCCAGCACCGACTCGTTTCCGCTGAGCTGCTGCAGGGTCGCCAGCTGCTGCTCGAAGTAACCAATGGCCTCCTCCATCACGGCCATGTTCATCTTGGTGATGCCCAGTTACCGTAGACCTGGGCTTCCAGACTCGGGTCCTTCAGCTTCTGCCCAGATCCAGCTGCTCCTCGTAACACTTGAAGGCCATTGTGAATGTCCCAGGGCCATGTAGACCGCGGCCAGGTGGCCGTGGCGCGGCACTCCCCGGCCAGGTCGCTCAGCTCCTGGTAGACCTCCAGCTCCTGCGTGTGATAACCCAAGGCCTTGCGTACTTCTGGACCGTGCGGTAGGGGAGCCCAGGGCCGCGTAGGCGCTGGCCTCCAGCTCCTGTCCTTTGCGTGGTGAGCCAAGCCCAGCTGCTGCTCGTAGAATTTGATCCCACCACTGATGTCCTTCTTGCAGACGAATATGTCCCCCAGGTTCCCGGGCCCGGAATTTGGCCTGGAAGTTATTCAGAGACTGGGCGACAGACAGCAGGTACTTCTGGCACTCCTCGCCTTGCTGAAGTTCAGCAGGGCCTTGAAGAGGCCCAGGTTGCAGTAGGCTTTGGCTTGGCTCAGTTTGTCGTGGAGGTCTTTGGCAAGTGCCAGGTCCTGCTCGTAGTACCTCACAGCCTCCTGGTAGTTCCCCAGACAGTAGTGTGCGTAGCCCAGGTTGTGGCAGACCTTCCCTCGCCTTCCATGTCTTGCAGGTCGGGAGCCAGGCGAGGTATGCTCGTAGTGGGGGCAGCCTGCACGTATCCCCCCGGGAGCAGTGGAAGTTGCCCAGGTTGCTGAGGTGCCCGGGCTCGCTCTGGATGTCCTCAGCTCCCGGGCGATGTGCAGATGGTTCTGGTAGTGCTGCAGAGCCCGGTCGTGGGCGCCCAGGGCCTGGTAGGCCACGGCCAGGTTGCCGTGTGTGGAGGCCTGAGAGGCGCGGTCGTTGACCTCAGGGAGATCTGCAGCTCTTGCGGTTGGAACTTGACCGCCTGGTCGAAACAGGCCCAGGGTGCGTGTACGCTGTTGCCCATGTTCCCGTAAGCGC